ATGTACAAATGAGCGTTCGTGCTCATTTTGCCTCCGAGATATGAGCAAAAACGGGACGGAAAACATGAACTGAAAACTCAAAATCGCGTCGAAAAGGCGTTGGATTAATGAATCCGCCTCGACTACATGTATATGATTTCGCCCCAGCAAAACCCTAATTCTTCCGATATATCTATAGTATGTATCTACAAAATCCAGGAATGCTTCTGCACAAAAACTACGCGGTTAAAACCTCCCTCTGCTCGTAGTTAGAGCAAAAATCAACCAGTCAAACGTAAAACTCTACTTTACCTGTTCCAGGTGGCCCCCACACAACATACGGCACGCTTCTGGATGTTTTATTGATGATTTTGTGAACGGCCGTTATTTGCTCAGCATTGTCATAGATTTGCTGGTTATGCAAGCTGCAAAGACAATCACAATTAAAGCATGCAATAAGCGGGAGAGCTGTAAAACCTCACTCAGTTTGTTCTAATGTGATTGATTCGTGCACGGGATTGTTCAAGAGAGACTCGTGCGGAAACAGATTATCAACGAAGCCGGTTGCGACGACTTGTTTCACTCCTTGGTGCATTCTTTCAAATTGGATTCGTCTCAACATGAACCGGACATCGATATTAGTTTCCGGATCCTCAGCCACTGTGTCTACAAGGCTGAAACAACATCGGGTTTTTCTAAGGAATAAGAATAGGAGTGTTTGAATTACCCTTTAAAGACTCCGTCTATTTCAACAGTTGAATCAGTTACATTTCGAATTATTCCTTCATATGCCTGATGATCTCCCTGCACTTTCAGCTGAATGCAGTCGCCTTTTAGTACTGAAGGGCGCTTTTCAGCTAAACCTGGCACCTTCAGTTCTAGGACTTTGCTTGTGATGCATCTTAGCCTGACCTGCAGAATTAAACAATTCATTTTATACCGTCCCCGGTAGCAATCACATGCAATACTTACGTCCTCCATGTTATAGCAACTAATGCCTAATATGCAAGAGGTTTCTTCAAGCCACAATAGGATGTGGAAAAAGTCGCAATAATTTTCTCGTGTCACATAGTCGGGATTCAGCTTATGTCTGATGTTAACAAATACAATCAATGGTGGCTACTATGCGTGAGAAAAATAACTTACAGGAGCTCACCAAGAATGCCGTCCTGAAAATCTCTTCGCAGGCCATATATCATTGTCCTGAAGTATTTTTTTGGAATAGGAAATTCGTCTGGCCTCATTGCAGCGAAACTGCTTCGCAAAAAGAAGAATTCTGGTTTTACATAGCAAACACATTACATATTTGAAATCACTACTTACTTTGTGGTTGCTGGTATTACGCTTACGTCTTCCCATTTGTTGTGTGTGAACGGACTTTTCCCTATTTCTACAATGTCTTCTGCAATATTGTTATGAATCGACACAATCTGTACGAAAAATCAACAATTTATTAGTCAAAGCACACTGTAGCCAAATTCAAGCGAACGTAAAACATCACTAACAAGGAGAAAAAAATTACTATAATACTACTACTCGTACAAACGTGCAATACACATCTATAAAATGAGGGTCTGTATGAGATAAAGGTAATACTTGGAACCAAGGTTGAGCACTTACAGAACGCGATGATTTAAGAACATCCAGTTTCAATAGCAAACTGCAAAAAATGTTTCTTTGAGTTCAACTGGCAGTCCTGCTTAGCAGTCGCTAAGAGGAAAAGCCACTGATAAAAAGCACTGATCAGTGCGGTTTTAATGGCATGATTCTTGTACAACTGTAAGTTTCAATTACTAATCGACAAACTTCGCTACTATTGGAAAACCACATCTTCAAAAGGGTTTTGCTGCTCGGCACAGAATACAGCATTGGTGTGGAAATTAACATCTATAATGTGGATGTTGCCAACCAGGCCATATATGTTTTTTTGTGGAAATCAGGCCCTACACTTGTACAAAAACTGAAGAAAACAGGAGAATTCCTCAAAAGTACACTGTGTTTCCCTCAGCTTAAGCTACCGCTTACTGTTGAATATACTTACAATTGCCCGGCATATAGAAAAGCCCTTCATGGCTTTTGTTTGATTGAAAGTTTGAAAACTGATGTAGAATGGAATTTTGAAATTACTGACGGCTGTTTCGGCTAGTTCAAAGCTGACGATTAATTGGTAACTTTCACCTGAAATGCGGACAAAAACCATCCCAAGATAGACGTTTGGATAGTGAGGCGTTTCACTTACCAGCTCCAAGTTGGACGAACCGCTGTTGTCCGACGATTCCGTTCGGATCTTTGAAGGAATAATGGGGAAATGGATGCAGAATACCGCCCGAAGTAATCAGGATATCGTCGCCTCGTCTGGTTCGGCCATTTTTTACCGTGCATAAAAAATCCAATTTATTATTATGTCGTTGAAATGCTTCAGGAGTAATCTGAAATAAATCGCACGTGTTCCCAAATCATTTCCCATTGTGTTCACAAGTAATAATCTGAGTATTAATTGCATGTAAATCCAGTCTCCAACAAGTACTTTCAGTCAGGAAACAGTTGGATGTTTCTAGTGAGATCCAAAGTCTGAAAGTTCTATTCTCCAAAAGTAGTGCCTCGATTCAGATTCTTCAAGTACTTTCCTTTAGTAAATCCCAAAATGTCGACTTAATCTTACACAATTAAGTGGAGGAAGGAAAGCGTCCTTAATAAAAATTACAATTTACAAAACCCGTCGTCGGCTCAAACATTTGAAATAATAACGGCTATTTGCTTCATATCATAAGTATTTCCGAAACACTTAATCGACGACAAACATCAATTATTTTGATTATATTGATTGCTCATTCACGTAAACACTTACATTTAAGATATGATTGCCTTTGTTATCAGGAGTTTGAGAGAAATCCAGCACAAAGCCATTTCGCTGCTGTACTTCAACTTTAAGTTCGATTCCGTTCCTTGAACTGCGGTGCGATTTTCTGAAAATTAATTCATGTTTTAGTCCCTTTTTCCTAATTGGGAGAATTATACCATCATGAAACGCCCTTGAATGGTTCATTTCTTCGTTCAGACTGGGCTTTTTATTTTGGAAAATTGGCCAAATAGTTGATAGCAGAAAAATATTGAAAAATGTACTTTTTATCTGATAGTCGAAACTTACACTCTCTTTTGAAATGTGTCCAGCAACTGGTTAAATATATGCTCTGAGGTTCTGATGTGGAATTCATCAAGCGGCTGGTCGTCGTTACAAAGCACACAAGTCTGAAATATGAAAAGCAAAAACCCAAATTAATCACCGCAACTTAAGAAGATGCAAAAGACTAATCTGAACAAGAATACGTGTTTCCGATGCAATAACAACTTTGTCAAACTGATTGAAATCCACTGCTGAAAGTCATGTAAAGTACCGGTATCATGATAGTCCTACATGGGAGTCCCACGAATCAACAACACCCTTAATTAGGCCCGAGCCATTTAGGAAACAGAGAAGCTTTTAGATAAGACGAAATAGTCCCTACATCCTGCCTGCCCCTTGAAGTGCTCAACGTTTCAGCAGCTATCTCGTTGCAAATCACTTAAATTTACTCACCGTTATCTGAGCGGCCATTCCTAATATTAGCAGGAGAAAAAACGAACTGGAAATTTTTACCAAACTCAAAACATTAAATAAGCAAGCAATTGCAGGATTTCCCAAAAACTAACCTAACTATGTTATGGCAGGTTATGGATCTACATCTTCTTCAAGGGGTGTAAAACCACGACCGTGACAGAGAACCAAGCCAGTCTAAGAACATGAAATCGCATAGATAAGAAAGGGATGAATGTAGCCTTTCTCAGTCAGAAAGAGCGAATCGATTGATTGCAGGTTGAAACACCATTGACCAAACTCAACCAAACTGAAATGTGTGGATAGAATTGGTATCACTGGCTGGCTGACAGATTTCAAAACTGAAAAAATGCGTAAACAAACAAAGTAGGTATTTTATCTATGGTATATTTGGCTTTAGCTCTTTGTTAGCTCCAGTATAGACACAACAAACATTTTAAATTCCTTATCGTATCTTGTTTATTCAAGGCCTTGAGCTTTATGCGGCAGGTATATATAAATAGAAGAATTATTAATAGTCATTTCATTTCTCAGTTGCTAGTGCCGCTTACCTTTCGGTAAAATGACTGCAAGGGTAAGTTCCTAGTTATGATAAAAATACTCTTGATCATCGTGAAAACAATCAAAATTCCAGGTTGATAAAATTGTAAAGACTTACAAGTCTTTGGCCCAAATCCCAGCCCTGCTTGGGGCCCAAATTCAGTCGCCGAACATCGTCAACGCCGTTTGGTCGCAAAGGAACCTTGAGACAGGCTCAATCGCGAAATTTAGCCGCACACTCTTCATCAATAATCTGCAAACTGTTGAAAGCACCTTACCTGTCGATGTCAGCAAGGAGTAAGTCGGTTTTATATTAGTAAAGTTTCTGTTCCTTCATAGGATTTGTTTGTCGATTACTCTTGACGTATTCAGAAATGTGTGATTCTTCTACTAGTTGCTCCTTTTCATTCGCTTTTGCTTCAACCACCTTGTTCTGATCTGAATTTGTTGTGTCAGCTTAATCATTCTTCTAATGTGTAAATGTACATTTTTAGAATCCTGTCTCGTTTGTCTGAGTCGCAAAAGTTAAGAGCTGTTCTAAGAGAGAGCGACTCGAAACAGTTTCTCGAAGTATGGCAAAGTAACAAGTTGGTGCGAGTAGTGGATTTGGCTGCCCTCGACGTTCATGGCAATGTATATGCTGATGGTAAGCCATGTTTTGCGTGGAATCGTTGGAAAATGGCAGTGAAACGTTGTTGTAGTCGAGTTTTCGTCATTTGAATTTTCACCCGATGAAACTAAACTCTTATATGTGGCTGAGGCCAAGGTGCCAAAGAGCGAGCCTTTCTACAAGAGGAAAAAGCCCGAGGAACCGAAGGACGGAGGCGACGCTCCCAAACCTCCAACCAGGGTATTTAGAATTCATACTCAACGAAAATATAGATTAAATTTGCTTGACTTCATATCAATTTGCCAAAACACTAACACCATAATCGCAAAGCCAATAAAGTTGCTCATAATCATCGCTGATAGAAACACACTAATTATGGTATTATTAAACTAGGGCGAAGAACACTTGTTTGAGCAAGACTGGGGAGAGCAATTAGTGGGCAAAAAGAAGTCTGTCCTGGTCCAGTACGACATTAGTAATGATTCTGTAGAAATTCTGAAAGGAGTTCCCGATAACGTTTGCGTGGCGCAGCCAAAGTACTCGCCAGACGGATCGTATATTGTTGGAGTAGCATATTCCGTTGAGCCGCGAAAACTTGGGCTGATTTACTGCACAAACAGACCGAGCACTATTTTCCAATTGGACTTTAACGGGGCCTACGGTAAGCTGGATACTTTTTCCATGTATTTCCTACTGCCACACTCTTTTTTAGTTGAGCTTCCTTTGCCAAATAAATCGGCCAAGTCGCCAAGATTCACTCCCGATGGGCAAAGGATTGTGTGGCTGGAACGGGCAACTGATGGACCCACATGGCCTGCATGACTTTAGCTAAAACCAACGCGCCTTTATCGAAAGACGTGAGTTGAACACACTTGTTTCTCTGCCCTGTTGACCGCTCGAGTTTTAGTCAGAGGCACAAGCAGTAGTGGGTTTAGTCAAGTCCAAAGTGGAGATCGCCAACAAGCGAACATTTTACGGCATTTACAACACAGGGTTTCCCAAGCGCCCATGGGCCAGTAACAATCAGCTGCTCATCAACACCAATCAGAAATACACTATTAATTCCTACATCATTAACATTGGTGAGTTGCTTTAGTTTTCATTAATCGTTCAATAATGGCGTTTTTCAGATTCAGGCGATATAACAGAATTGGAATTTGCTGACGGCAGTCAAATCGTTCTGGATGTAAAGGATGACTTGGTTTTGGCGTTAAGACGCAACTTTCTGGTCCCCGATTCATTGGTTATTGGAAAACTCGCCCAAATAGTGTCAGGCAATGGCGCGCAATGGACTGAATTAACGCCCAAGATCGAAGTTCCCGAGCTGGCAGGCTCCACGTTCAGATATTTAGACTTGGTGGCTAGTGAAGGTGAAGTCGGTAAGTCATAGCAGAGATTAGTAGAGAGATCGCCGATGAGCATAGGCGAAGCGGTCCAGCGATTTGCAGCCGTTTTCTCCCGAAACAAACACACAAGTTAGAAGTAGTGTAGGGGAGTTAAGTAGTGCCTAAGCAGCAAACGCTTGCAGACTTTGCGCTGGTAAGACATCGCGAGCAACGCTGTGAATTTGGAGCTGAATGCTCCGATATACGGATAACTAGTCGAATTCAATGGATTTTTATTGAAAGTCCGTGGGACTATTTAAAACTGGTATTTCCAACATTATCAAACTCACCTCACAAGGTGCAAAAACATGTATATGCACCTTGTATACTCTTATAAAATACATTACATTTTTTTACAAACTTCTTTTTGGGTATTTCGCAAAAATTTTTGAGGCGAAATACCCAAAAAGGAGTTTGTAAAAAAATGAATCCGCCTCAACAATATAGAACTTATATACATTACATTATTGTACGAATAGTCCGTACTCCCTATAATCCGAACTACATACTCTATAATCCGAATTGATCAATTGTGTAAAATGATATGATATGTATAATCTGAACACTTAATTGTTTTGAGTACGCTGTCGGATGTATGTATTAAATATCGTAAAAGATTGCTGCAACGTACTTTTACAAGATGAAAACATTTTACAACTTCAGTCAACTTCTTTTGAGACCTCTGACTGGGTAATTTACAAAAAGAAA